GGACGGGCGGGCGGGGCGGCGTCGGTAGCTACGAGGTGGCCGATGTGATATTGGCTGTTGCGGCCAACCTAATGGATTGGGGAGACCGGCCCAGGCCCCGCCAGCGGGAGCGAGGGAGAGAGAGAGAGAGAGGGAGAAAGAGGGGAGAGGGAACGAAAGAGAGGGGAGGAGGGAGTGGGGTGGTGCCGTGATGGGGTGGCTGCGTGCTGCGTCCACTGGGGTGGGGGTGGGGGGGGGGGAACTCTCTGAGGGCGTCAAAATGACATAAGCTGATACACGTAATGTAAACGTGCTTCACTTGCCGCCCTCTCCCCCTCTACTCTCTAACTCTCTTTAGTGCACCCTCTCTCTCGCTCCCATCAAATTTCCCTCTCGTTCTATTAATACAGTCATTGATCCGGGGTGAAAGTGGTTTGTATACAAATTTTATAAAAATTCGTAAGGCTTATACAACATTGAACTAGATTTTACAAAAACGTATACAAACCTCTGTTTACAGTTTACCAAATATAATAAACATTTATAGAATTTCATTTCAAGTTTTAAAACGGTGTATAGCTGTTATTACATTTTATAAATTTGTATAAAACTTTGTAAAATTTGCATACAAACCATTTTTACCCGGGATGTTCATAACTCACTCACTCCACCTCAATATTTTTGTGGTTTTCAAGGTTTATGTTAAATACAGTACGCCAATAAACTGACCAGTCGGAGGGTTTGAAAACAGATCGAGTATGAACGTATTGGAAGTCACCCGTCAAAGATCACGTTCAAAGTGAGTCAAAGTACAGCTACCGTGTGTAAAAGAGAAAACGTTGGTCCACACATGTTGGCGTACACCACCGAAGTATTCCCTTCTCGGATACGGCCGGCACAGGAGTGGCCTTTCTCACGTGTAGTTACACTGAGACATGGCTGTACTATGTATGGAAATGACCATGACCATGACCAAAGAGAAAGGGGTCAGTGGGCCGCCCTTCAGGGTGGGTAGGATGTTTACCCGTAACCAGCTCTGCAAAAGCACCACAAACGCAAAGTACCGCACAAAACGCGTAGGATACAAAATTAATCAACTTGATTCGTCCGAGGCCCCCTCTACTCGGGCGATGGGTGCGTCGGGGACAAGCACAGGGACGGGCGGGACGGCGCAGCGGCGCGGCCCAGGGGCCTGGGGCGGCGGCATTGTCCTGTCCGCTCCATGTTTTAGCAGGGTCGCGCTCGCGGGTCGTGCGCGCGCACACCCACGCTATCGCACTCTCTCCCGCACACACGTATACGATGCCGTAACTTTATTCTTCCGATCAAAGTTTCATGCAGCAACGGGGCACCGGCGGCCCAGGCACGCCCCGAGTGTCCG